TTGATTTCAATCGATTAAAATTTTGATTTTGTTGCAGAAAAATCCGATTATCAATTTCGATTACGCCCATAGGATTTTTTAATTTTAATCAATTTTAATCCCTAAAATTTTTCACTGGGTATTGATTTTACAAAATTTATAAAATTCATCACTTTTCAATGCTAAAACATTTTCTGCTAACATCGATAAATTCGCCATATTGCTGTTATTCATTTTAAAAACTCTCACGATAAATAATATATAAGCCTAAAATAAGCAAACATAGGTATACAGAATAGAGCAATAGGAAAAATAGAATCGTTGGAATGCATTGCTTTACTCCGATACCTAATCTACATTAATCGACTAGATATTGGTACTGTGTTAAGAAACTATGTATTTGTTAGTATTGAGGGTAAGAGAACGAAATAAGGTGCAATAGATCAGCTGTACACTGAATGGTATCGAGTTCTGTCTTGTCTTGGTTCTCTCTGAATTAGAATTGATATAAATTAGTTGGTTTACTCACTTACATTGGGCCATACACAAATTTTAAAAAAACCAATATCAACGTCTTTGTTCAACATTATGAATAATGTTAAAACAACATATCCTTTCGACACAAATCAGTTGTCAAAAGACGCATTATCCTTTACTGATGAGAGATTTTATGGTTTTGTCAAAGAAGCATTAGGTAAAGCAGCAGCTGATCTTTTGCAAACACAAGCAATAAATAATGTACCATCATTTTTATTAAGTCATGATTTTTGTGCTGTTATAGAGCTTGATATTGATTCTAAAGAAGTGGATCAATTAAGAACAAAAATTTCTTTTCTTTGTCGAGATAGTATATATTGTGTTAAAGCTGGTATTAAAAATAATTTTAAATATTTAAAAAAATTGTTATTATCAAAAATAGAAGAAAACGGTAAAATACAACCAAAGCCAAAAAAGACAACAACAACTAATTTAACTTCATCAACATTAACAAAAGATAATCATACTGAAATGATACGCAATTTAATACAGAGATGGACAGAAGATAATAAAGAAAATTTCAATTTTGATGAATTAGAATTAATATCAGATATTGATTATACATTAAGTAAAATCGATAGTAATAATGTTACTGAAGCTGCAATAAGATTTACATATGGTGTTAAAATAAAGTTAAGAAAAAAAGCTGAGAAATTTCAAATTCCAAATTTCTATAAGCATTTAAGGTCTTTAACATGTTCTGTGATGAAGAAAAAAAAATAAAGATAATCAAGAAAACGACTGTTGAATAATTATTTTATTAATAGCAAGATTGACGTTGAAGATAATAACGATAGTCAAACAATAGCTTTTTCATCGGCAACACTTCAACAATCATTATCACAAATCTCTATAAATGCAACAACATCTTCATCACATTGAGCAAATATATCATCATTGTCAACGACAAGAGGTATTAAAGGTATTTCAACGAGCTTAACACTCACAGATTCACAACAATCATCATCATTAGCAAAAAGACATAAAACATAACATTTTTTTCTACATGTACTCCTCTGTAGTTCAATATATACTGTAGGGATGTTATTCTGCAAATGATAAGTGTTTTATTCGAGAATTAATATTAAAGATTTTTGCTTTTACCATTTTTATATGCATGACGTTGTATCCAAGTAGGAATGGCGTTATTGTCGATACTCCTTTTACTATTGAAACTTTCTATATTTTAGGATTGCTTTTGTTCTTTGACTTCTTACAAGCTATATTTTGTTATTTCGCGTTTTTATCAATCACAACCAAAATACATACAACAAGAGAGGCAATTTCCCAGTCATGATTGAAAATATAAGTTTCTGAATCAAGAAGCTATAAAAAAGTTTGTTAGCGCAGCTCCTGCGGAGCTGAAATATGGAACTCACGTATACCTTTAGCTTTGTTACCTGACGCATCATCTGTATACTGAAAGACTTCTTGTCAACTATAGTTGTTTTCCTTGAGAATCGATGAAAAGAGCGGGAATTTATTATTTATTCTTATATTAAAAAAAAACATATTAAAAAAGAAAATATTGTTTTTGCATTTAAGCGCGCTCGATTTCATTTATAATTATTGCTATATACTCGATAACACTCTTTTTTTTTGTTTTCTAATTTGAAGTTATTTTTCTCCACCATCGACTATTTGATGAATACGGTTGTTGCAGTCTGCAATGCGGGGGAGAGGGGGGTATGTGTATGTAATGCTCTTTTTTGGTTGCTATGGTCTGTAAGGGGGGGGGGGGGGGGTGGGGTGTGTAATTTTTT